GAAAACAATTTTTATCCTTCAAGGATGAGAAAACTGCCATTTTAAAATGCAATAAGTTCAAGGTCACAGAATTATCCAGGAAGTGTTAGAGATAGAGACGCAATCTTTAAAAAGTGTCTAGACCTCGATGAAGGATATATCAAGAACCCAGAGATTAATATTTTTATATTCCATTTAATAAGGTTTTCCATGAATTTGGATCCATGTTTACTTTTTAAATTTTTCATGTTTATGTCAAGAGTCATATTAAAAAGTGTTAATTTATTTACTATAATGAAATGTAGGTTATGGTGTCAAATTGGTGACTCACTTAAAATATTATCTCTTAAAAAATTATCTGTATTCATTTGGAAGCTATTTTACCCATTTTTTTCCACTTAGAGAAATATCGTTTCTCACTCAATGAGGTTTCTTTATTATCATGCCAGATATATAGTCTGGATCATTATGAAAAATAAAATGAAATAAAATCATGATCTTTATTAAAAGGTCTTCCTCTGAACAGGCTATAACAAGAACAAAATAGGTTAGAAACAAATATTATGGAATTCTGCTACATTTAAAATTACTTCTAACCTATTTGGAATAATTTTTAATCAGTTGATGGTCATATCTTAACTTGTCATGTCAATGCCATACTTCTATGATTGACTCTCATACCAATGTTTCACTCTGTAAAGATAAGCTATAATTAAAATTAAACCTTCTCCCTTCTCACCACCTCAAGAAAGATTTGGTGATTGCTTTCTGTAGTGATCAGTCATATAAGGTGTCCTGGGATGACACTGTAGGATAAACACAGGACACCTAATGGTAAGGTTTTTAGTTCATACCACCAATTACTCCTCAGGAATCATTTTTCTTTTTTTAAGCTTTTACTGTGCATTGAGTGATAGTTTACATGGGAGAACATCAGTTTTTCACTCATTCTATTGTATTTTGTATCATATCAATGATTATAATCCCATCCCTACATGACTACTCAACAGTATTTACTTCTATTAGTTCTGGTTTTATTTATTTATTTATTTTTGATGTACACAAAAACACTCAGGCATATATCATCATTTAAACAACCCAAGGACACATGTTTCTGGACTGCCTCTGGGCCACTAGTACACAGCTTTTCTCTTTCCATGAGTCTAGAGTCCTCAGCTGCTCTAGCTCCCATTTTCATCATCTTTGCCTCTATCTCTGGTGTGGCTGCTTCTCTGGATAGGGTCCCACATTCTGCTCATGTTCTTCTCCCTCGATGGTCCAAAAGTCTTCTGTTTGTGGATGTAAGATTAGCTGCTCCCCTTTCTATGTTACAAAACTTCTACCTTTACAGTTGTGACAATTTCAATTAATCATAATAATTACTCGCTATTGAATCATAAGAATCTTATCCCCATCTCCTTTCACCATACCCATCTAGACAAGATGAAAATTATTCAGTGGGGAGTCTACCTTCCCATACTCTGAAACTAAGCTCCCTCTTGAAAACTGGCAAGCCAGCCACTTCATGCCTTTATAGCCGCCCTGCACCCCCATCCCCACCCCATTTTAGGTAGCCAGTGTCTAAGTTGCCTGTCCTTATCAACCATGTATACAGAAGGGATAAGATTGATACTTGATGTGAAGTCTCCTTCCTTCTCAGTTGGTATTTTGAGCTACTATATCCATGGGTCTGCTTATCCTTTCAAGTGGGATTCTGGAATCCCACCTCAGAAGGTTCTGGATGGGGATCAAGATTGCACCTAATGTCCTACACATTATAAAGACTCTGCAAGAAGCCTATTTCACTGGGCAAGTTCTAGGACCTCTTTGAGGTATTCCAACAAGTTATAGCCTGAAGATGGGCTTACAAGCTTTCTATAATCATGTTTCCCAATATTCCTTTCTATCCTACTCAAGTGTCTGTTTTACAATAATAGGCAATGGGAACCAACACTCATAAGACAATCAGCTTGTTAACGTTATTTCCCCTCTTTTACTCATTCAGAAATCCCTGTATCACAGAACCCTCTTCCAAGTTTGAGCATACATCACTCTTTACCTCTGTCCCATTTAACGCATGCAAACCTGCCTAATATACCTTGTTCTTCCATTCCCTTCCCACTTATTGTGTATTGTCCTCCCCAATACCCAAATTATGCTACCATCTCCTCCATCCTGCCCCATGTAGACAACAAAAAAACCCATTCTTTTAGTTTGGGTATATTTTATCAAGCTTCATATTTTTAATATTTCTATATTCTTCTTAGATTTTCATTTTCTTGGTATGTGTGAAATGCTTATTTTCTTTGAGGTTACCCTATATTTGATTAACTTTTTCCCCCATTCAAAAGAGTCTATTTTACCTGTAAACCACTTGACCTCCTCATCAATTGGATCTCTGTTCTTATAGTTTTATCTTCTTTCACATTGTAATTGTTGATCATAGATTGATCTACCAGATTTTCTGAATTCATTCTTGCAATTTAATTCTGTTCTAGGCTCTTCCATCTGGTGACTGAGTTCCAGTTGGTGTTGCTATATATGTCAATCTCTGGTGGTTGTCTGTTCTGGTTGGTTCTCAGTTCAAAGAACTCCCTTTCGGATGTTTTGAAGCATAGGGTTGGCTTTGACAAAGTCCTTTAACTTCCATTTATACTGGAATGATTTTATTACACCATCATATTTGATTGACAGTTTTGCTGGGTAGATGAATCTTGATTGGCAGTTTTCTTTTTTTTTTTTCTTTCTTTCGGGGTTTTATTTATGTCTCCCCATTGCCTTCTAGCCTCCATGGTTTCTATGGAAAGATAAAAGCTTAATCTGATTTGCTTGCTTTTGTAAGTACCACTTCTCTTTTCCCTAGCTGCTTTCAGGATTCTGTCCTTGTCTTTGATTTTTCAGAGCTTTATTATGATATGTCTTGGTGATTATCTTTTGGTGTCTATCCTTTTGTGGTGTTCATGCAGCTTCTTGAGTGCTTGTCTTTTAATTTTTCAGGATATTAGGTAAATTATCTTCCAGCCACTCTTCAGCTATCTCCTCTGTGATTTTGTGTCATTCATTCATTAGTTCTCACGTTATTCCTCTTCATTTTGTCCCACATGAATCTTAGACTTTCTTCAGATTTTTAAATCGTGTTTTCTGCTTTCTCTTCTATCCTAGTTGTATTGAGACATTTGTCTTGCATCTCACTGAGTATGGCTTCCATCTCTTCAATTCTACTTATTTACCCTTTCAGTATATTGTAGGTTTATGATATTTTATTATTAATTATTTGGACATCTTTCTGCAGGTTTTTAATTGTTTCCATTGATATTTCTATTTATTTGATTGTTCCTGTAGCACTTTTCTGACATCTTCCTTATTTTCTCAATGTCTCTGTTGCACATTTGGATGCACCTCAATATTACTCTCCTGAGTTCCTTCTCAGACATTTCCAAAGCCTGCTCTCTTTCCAATGGGAAATCTAGGTCTACCTGAAGCTCATTTATTTTAGCTAGTGTATCTTGTTTCTGGAAATTTGCTGAAATCTTCAACTGTCTCTTGGGCATCTTTAATAATTAGATGTGTTTTCAATAATTAGATGAGTATATATTGATACATTACTAAGCTTTATGATTGTCTCCTGGAAGATGGATCAGGATATGGCTTACCTTTTCACTTTTCTTATTACTTAGCTCACAGTAACTGTAGAAGGTGTTGGCTGTCTATCTGGTGTATAACAGCTGGGATTGGCTCTTATCTGGATGGTAGAATTTTATAGGGTGTGATTTTTGCTTGGCTATATGACCACAGTTGCTGTCTCTTCTTGGGTAATGTAGGAAGATAAAGAGATCCCTCCCCAGCAAGGTAAAAGGGGAACGAAGAAAACAAAAAAATAACACCACAACAGAAAAAAAAAAAAAAAAAAAAAAGATTGGATATTGGAGTATATAATCACAAAAACAAAACAAAACAAATGAACAAAACAAATAATGTAGCAAAATATGAGTATGACCTTCATGCCCCTCTCTCAGCAGGCTGAAGTCATTCCTGGAGACAGTTTCATTTTAAGCAGTTCTTGTTCACCTATCACCCTCCTTAGATTCTGTGTGCTGAGGTCTTTGCTGATCAGATCTGTGCACATGCATAGTTGAACACTCTGTGTCTGCAGGTGTCAATTAACTCAGGTACACCCTCTAGTCATCAGACTGGAGGTATGCAGAGATTGAGAGAAAAATGAAGAGGAGAAAATGTTTACACCTTTATTTCCAGTGATCAGTCAGACTTCTGTGGTGGGAGTACTCCTCTGATCCTGTTCTTGTTCTTTCACACTCATTATGGGCTCTCCAGAACCTGCTGGCAACCACAGACCAGAAAACACCACTTTCATTACTTCTGATACAAATTTCACTAGCAGTAAGCCTCCGATTTTTCTAAATATTCTTTAATATGAAGTTCAGAGTTCTGGAACTGTACCCTGAACCTGCTTCATCTGATATCCTGTGCTATTACTGTCAGAAGTCTGCACCATGCTTCTCCCTAATCTGCCATCAAGCCCTGCCCCTTGCAGAGTTGCTTTTTAAAGCAAATATTTTGTAAGCATTTTTAATTTGCCAAAAATATACAGCAGTGGCTTGTTTATTCATAACACCAGATTTATTATTCAGTTGCTAATTCAAACAATTAAAACTCCTTAAAAATATGTATTTTGGTGAATGATATATTTCAATGAACTTATTAAAGTTACCTTATTAAATTTATTGGGCTGCAAGGTCAGCAGTTCAAACTAACCAGCTGCTCCTCAGAAACACTTTACAGTGTCACTATGAACTGGAACCTACTCAACAACAACAAAGTTCATCTACACAATTCCAATATAAAATGTCAATTTATTGTGGAAAAATGAATTTTAACTAATATCTTGGAGTTCTTGTGTGGTATTGTGGGTTAATACACTGTACTACAAAGTTAGATTGATATAAAAGGTCAGAAATTCAAGCTCACCACTCTAATAACTTAGAGTGTGCCTAAGCAGTTTCCTATAAATTTCTGGACTTAAATACTTTTTGCATAATTTTCCTGCTAGCACTTTTTAGTTGCTCATTTCTAAGACTATAGATAATTGGGTTGAGGAGAGGGGGAATTATGGAATAAAACACAGTAAAGACAACATCCTGGATGGTTGGAGAGATATCAGGTGGCCTTAGGTACACGTAGAAAATTGAGCTGAGGAAGACTGACATCACAAGGATGTGAGGAATGCATGTGGAAAAGGCCTTTACTCTGTCTACTCCCTTTGGAAACTTGAGCACAGTAGAAAATATGTGAATGTAGGACCTGATGATGAAGATGAAACAACCTCCACAGAACACTAGAGCAGAGGCAAAGAGAGTTATCTCATTACTCAAGGTATCAGAGCAGGAGAGTTTTAGTAGAGAGGGGATATCACAGAAAAACTGATGAATTACATTGGAATGACAAAAGGACAGCCTAAAGGTATTACCTGTGTGTAATGCTGCATAGACTATACCACTGAGGATGGAAGCCAGTGTCATCTGGACACAGACCCGAGAATTCATGATCACAGTGTAATGAAGAGGCTGGCAGATGGCTACATAGCGGTCATGGGCCATGAAAGTGAGGAACAGCAGCTCCACATATGCACAAAAGACCACAAGGAAGACTTGAGTTACACATCCTGCCTTTGAAATGGTATTGCTGCCAAGTATAGAATTCAGACATGAATTAGGGACTGTTACAGAAATGTAGCATGCATCCAAGATGGAGAGATTTCTGAGAAAAAAGTACATGGGTGTATGAAGACTCTTGTCCAGTGTGGTGACAACAACAATGAGAAAATTCCCAGTGAGAGTCAGCAAATACATCAAAGCGAAGAATGCGGCATGCATAACCTGTAGTTCCCATACATCAGAAAACCCTATTAGTAGAAATCCTGTCATTGTAGTGGAATTGGCCATCTCTCAGTTAGGCAATTCATACCTAGGATGTAAAGAGAGAAATTCTGAACACATGATGAATTAAATTATGAGAATATAACTTCCAATTATTTTTCTATTGCCCTTTCATAACTCTAATTGTTATTTATGTCCCAAATACTTTGCAAGGTACATGATTTCATTTTTTTATAGATGCCATAATATGTTTCTTCTTATTGTAGGAATGAAATGAAAATCAAGGCTATATTTTATAAATAATGCACTTATCCTGGTATGGTGCTGTAAGATAAACACTCTACTGCTAATGGCAAAATTAGTTGATTCAAATCCACCAGCCACTCTTTGGACATCTTATACAGGGTCAGTATGAGTTTGAACTGACTAAATGACAACTTAACAACAGTTTAATATATATTATAATATATTATCTTGTTAATATTTAATTTTGTCATGGTAAAATAAATATAAATAAATATGGAGTCATTGGGTTCTTCAAATAATTAACATGCTTGTTTTTAACCAAAATATTTCTTGTTTGAATCCTTTGAAAGGTGTCTCAGAAAAAAGGACTGTTGATGTACTTAAAAGAAAAATAAAAACCAGCCGCTGAAAAAGCCTAAAAATCATGATACTACACTCAAAACACATGAGATTACTATGAGTCAGAGTAAATTCCATGGAAACTTTTATTTACTTATATATTGTGTTTGTTTAATTTTTATATTATTTAAAACGTAGTTTAAATTGATGTTGTTGACTTTTTTAAAGGAACTTTAATGGAACTTTGGAGATAATCTAATGTTGTTGAATAATAGACATAAAGTCCTTTAGATGTTTTCTCAGTCTTACATTCTCATCTTGTAGCTATAGACAATGCTGTGAAAAATAATCTTTCTTTAGGTATACTATATGCATATTAATGTCAAAATTATCTTCTACTGCATGATATTGAAATAATTTTCAATTTATTTATTGGACTCCTGGTGTGGTTCAATAGGATCAACGCTGGACTGTGAATCACAAGGTCAGACTTCAAACCTATCAACTCTTCCCTGGAAACCCTATACAGGGATGCTATGAGTCAAAACTAACTTGATGGCACTTAATAACAACAAAAATCTCAAAATGATACAAAAATTTCTTACCTCATGCATACCTCACACTGAATCTGCTTTCATTTTCTGTTAGTATATAGGTCATTGAATTTTCTTCTAATCATATGTCTATCTTATATAGAGATGTGTCCCTCTCATCAGCTTCCAGTTCCTCTCATAGTCTCTTGAAACTTAAACTAACATTGCCTCCTTAGCATATCCCAATTTACAACATTTCCAACTTTCATTCAGTCCACTTTCCTGAAAAATAAAAACAACAACATTGGGGCATATCTTATAATGTACTATTTTCTTTTTTTCATCTTAAAAATTTGAGGTTTATCTCTTTCACCTTTAGCTTTTTCAACAAATTCTCCGTGCATTCTTCATCCATTTTTACATATTTCATCATGGAGTCTTGGTGTGATGCTGTATGATAAGCACTGGTCTGCTAACCACAAAGTCACCAATTCGAACCAACCAGTTGCTCTTTGGAAACTAAATATAGAATTTCTGTAATTCATAACTGACTTGATGACACTTAAGGAAAATGAAAACATACATTGTTGGTCTAGTAATCACATCTTTATACTAGGAAAATAGTTAATTTCTTCTATCCTAGGAAAATAGTTAATTTCTTCTATCCTTTACTTGATTTGCTCACCAATGGACGTATTAACCAGCTTTCCTGTTTACTCAGCGGTGTTATCTGTATATTTAATTTCCTCAATCATTATTTTTTTGCAGCACTTTCTTCACATTCTCTCATAAGAATGACAATAGTAGTAGTAGTAGTAACAGTAACAGCAAAAGAAATAATAATAGCTATAACATTTGGAACCGTAGACAAGCAAATGACACAAGGTTAAACTGATTGTACTTAATTCTTCCAAATGCTGCTCAAATTTTTCAAGTCTTTGAATCATCTCTTCCCTCTTTTGGCAAACTTACCAAAAATTTTGAATATATATTTTTCATGGACACCTTGAGAAAGCCTATGTATGATGTTCATTTTATGAAACAACTCACAAATGCTTTATATTAGAAAGAAATTGAGCTGTTTCTTTGTCTTATCTGCCTTTTGTTCTTTATAAATTCTTAAAATACTGTATCCTGCATAGAATTGTGCCTCATAGTATCAAATAAAGGTTTTGGCACATATATGAAGGTACAATTTGCTCCTTTTTAGTAAAATATAGCCACTATTTTTGTCCTGATCATAGATGTTTGTATTCAAAGGATAAATCCTATGATTCTTTGGTTTGTGGACAGAAGAAAATTTATACTCATGGTTCAAATTAAAGGAAAAAGTAGATTGATTAATGACATCCAGTGTTTGCAACTCATAATTAGTGAATATCTGTGTACTGTAAACTTTTTCATTAATCATTCATTCATATGTTAACACTGTTTGTAATTTACCTATATAAAACATTTGTATCTCTAAATATATTACATTCCCCCATTAAATCATTCCTACACACCAGAATTCAATGATCCAAATGTTTTCCCTTGATTCACAATATTTCTTGATAATTAGTCAAAATCTAGAAATGAAAAGAGATTTTAGTTATGCAACCAAGACAAATTAGATCTTCACAATTAACTATTAATTCACCATAAAAAAACAACATACTTACTATTAACTTTCCTAAAATTATTATTTGCTTGTTTTTATGAAAATAGATCTGTCATTATTATTAGTTTCCTTAGAGTAGGTTTCAACACATAGTTACTCTGCATACAGTTTTCAAGGCTGTAAATCTTTGCAGAAGCAGAAAGCCTCCTCTTTCTCTCAAAGAGTAGCTGGTGGACTTGAAATGTCAATTCTGGGTTTCACAGTGTAGTGCTTATCCTACAAAATCTCCATAAACATGAAGGTTGCCTGTCCTCATTTATTATAAACTTAAACATCTGAGGGCTCTGAACATTATCATATGGTTTCTACAGTAGCATTACCACAAAAGGTTAGTCCTTGTGTTGCTATTGCATAAGCATCATACTGTTAACCACAAAGTTGACGATTCAAACCTACTAGCTATTTCTTGGAAATCCTACATAAGGCTGATATGAGTTGGAACAGACTCGATGACATTTAACAAGAGCATATTAAATTTGATTTTGAAAAAACTTCAGAATGCATAGGTGAAAACATTATATATTTTAAACATATATTTCTTATTATAATTTTATGATTATCAAAGCAAAATCTTGTAAACCTGACACTCTATCAAGTAAAATAATATAATTCCCAGAATAGAAATTGTTGGATTGTAAAATCTGGTTTTTCTCTAGTCTTCAACATTTAATTATCTTCATTTATATTAATCACAAAACATGGTAGTCATGTATATCTTAGATGTTTGTTGTACAGAAGCTTTTAAAAAATTAGCTGACACTTCTATTAAGTAAAATTTTCAATTTATTGAATCTAATTTTCTAAGTAAATAAATTTGTCCTCCTACATAGATATTGCGCTGTGGGTTAATGCACTACACTGCAAAGCCATTTGAACTGCAAAGTTGGCAGTTCAAGCTCACCATCTACTCCTTGGAAACCCTATACAGGGTCGCTATGGATTGGAATTGACTCAACAGCACTTGACAACAACAACAACATATTCCTTAAATCATTTTTAAATGTGACATAATAATTTGACTTCTTCATCAAAGAAATATTTTCCAGAGTATCATTGGTAACATTGCATTTTTCTAAAAAGAAAGAAGTAAATAGTGAGTGACATATTGTGTGGAACCATTGTGTAGTGAGCAGGATAATGCACTGGACTTCAAGGACAGCCCAAAAGGTCAGCTCCTCTGAAAAGGACTTAATGGTAATTAACAACAAAACCAACAATCTATTGTGTTGCAATATGAATTACATATTTTTGTACCTTGTAAGACAAAAATAATACTCCATTGATTAATGATTTGATTGAATTATTTTCAGAGTTAATCATTTGTCTATGTATTCACTTGTTGATTTAGCCAATCAAGAAGTTATAACTGAGAGCCTAACATATATCAGTACATGATTAGAGTTTAACTCAATTCTGTTGAGTTGATTCTAACTCATAGAGAACCTATAGGACAGAGTAGAATTGCCACAGAATTTCTAAGACTATATTCTGGAGGGAGGCAGACTATAACATCTTCTCCCAAAGTGTCGCTAGGGAGTTGGAATCACCTGTCTTTTGGCTAGCATTCCAGCTCTTAAACTGTGCCACCAGAACTCCTTTGATTGGAGATTATAACCTAGTTTTTAACTATGCTCTCTCTGTGACTTTAGCAGATGTACACATAACAGTACATTTTAATGGCAAAAAATAATGAATTATTCTAGTTTATGTTATATATATGTACTTTTTTTTTCTTTCTAGAGTTTAATTTTGAACTGGGTGTAGTCTTAGACATCCACCCCATTAAACTTGCTGAGAGATTTACATGCTGTTGTTGTTCAGTCCATTGAGCAGGTTCTAAGTCATAACAACTCTGTATAGGGTTTCCAAGCTGTTGAGTTTGAGCTACCAACCTTATGGTTCAAACTGACCTTGCAGTTCAATGCTTTATCCTGCAACAGGCTTGCACGGGCTCATTACCTGACTTGGAATTTTTTTTAGATTTCTCAAATGCTAATTAACATAAAGAAAATTACTCATTTTAATTTTAATCCTCTACCTCACCTGAAAGGAGCTTTGGTAGCGTAGTGGTTATGAATCGGGCTGCTAATCTCATGGTCGGCAGTTTGAAACTACCTGTTGTTCCTTGGGAGAAAGATGAGGCTTTCTGCTCCCGTAAATATTTACAACCTCAGAAACCCTGTACAGGGTCATTATGAGTCAGAACGGACTCCACGGCACATATCAACAACAACAACAACAACAACCTCACCTGAAATTGCCCAGTACTTGACCTGATGGCAATGGTG